GAATTCATACTAATATAAGCCCCTATTATGCCTTCAGATGTTAGTTTAAATGAACATCAGGGCCACATTCATCTATCAGTCTACTTTTGTACTTTAGAGTTAAATAGATATGGCACGTTTAATTTTATTAAGTACTTAATGTTTGGAAAAGTTAGAAGCAACTGAAAGCAGGGTCTTTGCTGGAGAAGTATCTTGCGAACTTGATAGGCAATGCTATTAGTCTCACCTATAATAAAGCCTTAAGATGACTGATTTACTATGGAAACAATAACTTTATAAATACAAAGTAAAAATTTCCTTGTATATACATGCCTCAACTATAACAAGGCACTCATATAGTATTTTAAACTGTGTTATAATATAAATATTGATATAAGGCTATAATGGCTAATGTGTGCTTACAATTCATTTCACAACAGTCCACAAGTATTCTTTCTCATAGGAGTGCTTTCCATGCACAATGATAATATGATGATGGGGATTGTACTTTACATAATAGACATTGTTTCTGTTTGGCTTATTACTACAACTCTGAAATATATATATATATTTTTGCCATCCCATGGCCCCAATCCTTTTCCTACTAAAATGAGTTGGAAAATTTTAATTGGAAGTGTTTCTCATCAGAAAAAGGCTATTTTGATGAATTTGAATTCTTTAATGAAACTGTTTGGAGTTTTATGTGTCTTGTGGGACTGAAGAAAAATGAGAACTAAATTTCACTTAAGAATTTGAAAATGTTTCTATTTTTGTTTAATTTTATGGATCTGGTTTTCATTTTTATTTTTTTTTTAATTTATAAGATGTCAATAGCAGTTTAGTACTGTCACTATCATAACATTCACAGCTACATGTCAAAATATGACACAAGTTGAAATATCCTATTTTACTATTTTAATTTTAAAATCACTAAGGACAGATGCTACATACTGATGATTTAAACTCCTTATCACCTTTCCCCACCACTCGCTGCTCATGCACCAGGCCACGGCTGTACCCTGCCACCATGGTCCAGCTGCCACTGTTGTTCCCCTCGGGCCATGGCTTTACCTTGGAGAGGAGGTGGGGTGGTGGGCAGTGTCACCTGTGCCTCCCTACCCCCTGACCTGGCATCTATGCCATCTCTCCCACCTCCCACCCCATAGATGCACCTATGGGGAGCTGTAGGAGCTGCTCTCCATGCTGCCTGGCTGTCACATCCATGTGTCTGCATGCATGTGGCCTCCACTGTCTGAACACCGTTCTCCCACTCCCCCAGCTTCAAGCAGTCCTTGCAGGCTGGAACTCTACCAGCCTGCAAGGGGAAACCCATGGTTTCTCATGCTTTTCTCCTTTAAAGGAGACTCTATTTTTAAAGTTTGTTGATCCATTTTTTAAAGTTTGTTCATGACCCTTCCATATATAGTTATGACCCACTTTTGGATCACAACCCACAGGTTGAGAAACACTGCTTTAAACTATACATCCTTTTTCAGACGTGTCAAAAAAACATGATGGATATGCCAAGTCTGTAAATTGTATTTCTCTTCTCTTCTATTTAAAATAGGCAGCACAGTTTAGGTGGCTAGCATGGTCAAGAGACCATTAATTGGGGATCTGGGAAAACTGGTTTCTATTTCAGGCTCTGCCATTGACCTAGCATGAGACTAAGGGCAAATCACTTTTAAGTACTTCTCTTTTCTCCTCCCACCTGTCAGTCTGTCTTACTTAATTAGATTGTGAAACTGCTTGGGAATGTCATTCCATTCATTTGGAATTTGTCTAGCACAAAATATACCTGTCTCACAACTGTTATTATTGTAATACATGTAAATAACAATAATTCTGGAGTGCTAACACTGCAATAGCCTCCTTAAAATGAATGCTTTTCATTTTATATTGATCCTTACTGCATTTGAGCCCAAATATTTTTGGGACAGATTTGCCCACTCTCGGTCTTATTAATTTACTCCGTAAGTATTCTCCTGAAATAAATGGGATCACATTTGGAATACAATAATACTTAACATTGAAAAGTAAAGCACAATCTTGGCCCAGAGGTGTGTAATTTAAGAAATACTTTGGTCATCAGTAAAAGAAGATAACATTGTTTAATATTGCGCCAGTCTCGTGAAAGAAATTAACATCTCTCCTTTTTTAGTCTGCATACTTTTTTTGCCTTTTCTGTCATCTCTTCTTAGACGAGTTGGTTTCTATGTGAACACATTCAAAAATGTATCCAGCCTTGAAGCCAAGTTTCACAAGGAAATAGCTCTGGTAAGTAAAATTTAATGTGTTGTATGAATTATATAGCAAAAGAATGTTCTAGTATAAAGCTGTAAAAAATCTATTAGCAGTGTGTCTGAAAAGTTACTCTTACAGCTTTTGGAGGCCTATACACGAGCATGGAGGCTGCTTCGATGTGCTGGAATTCCAGCACGTTAGAACAAACCCAGTTAACTGAGTTTGCTGGAGTGTGGCAATTGCCACATATATTTTTGCATTTTTGGATTATAATTGAAATGCAATTGCAACATTCAGCTGGGTTTATTTTAATTTTTAGAGTCTTCACATCTCTCCCCCCCACACACACATTATATTTTGAAATTATTATTCTGTATTTTGAAATGACTGTGTTTTGAAATTATTATTTGTACAGTAAGGTTGATAGACATCAGTTATCATTAGTGTAACATTGCATCATCCCCCTAAGCTCAAGAAGCAATGTGTATACCGTTCCTTTCAAGATCTAGAAGTAAATTGCCAGTAATTTGTCAGTACACCTATGATTCTCAGGCAAAATACAGTTACTTCAGAAAGACCTTTATGAGTACAGGACCTAAAGGCTGATTTACACACCGCATCAGTTAAATTAAAATAATATCCTACCATATTCCAAATAGAATTTACACAGTCCCCTACATTTGTAGGCAACCAGTTTTGTGAGGGTATAAATAAAAGTAAGCACTGTATCAAATGATACAAATATAAACTGCTGTGATGTAACTGTTATATTTGTAAACTTCAGTAGCAATACTGGTTAGTTAAATTGCTGTAGTTGTAACCCTGAATGAAACAGGTTTAAAAGTGGATCAGTATACCAACAGGAGCATTAAGAGAAAACAGTTGCATACTAATACCTGATGTATGTTCCCAAGTGGTGATTCCACCCTATCCCTCTTTTAAAGGTGCCAAAAGTTACATTTGTCTGTAATGTGACAGAGTCCACAAGAAGATCTATTCTAATCTTCCTTGCAGAATACAGTCATAAAATAACCTATAATAAAACTATAACCTGCAACAGCTAACATGTAGGAGGGACAAGGGCACTGCCAAAGCCTTGGTACTGCAGTGGCAGAGAACTAATTAAGATATGCTCAGATAATCCCAGGAAGAGGATAAATGAGCAAACTAAAAGCACCACACAGACCATGCTAGTCTTTTTCAGGGAAAAGTTCCTTTCTGACCCCAAATGTGATGATCAATTTGACCTTGACTCATGGGATAGGCATTTGAGAGGTACGTTTGGGACCACATTTAGAATAAGATAATCCTTAACATCAAAAAGTAAGGCAAAATCTTGGCCCAGAGGTGTGTAATTTAAGAAATACCTTGGTCATCAGTAAAAGAGGATAACATTGTTTAATATTCTGCCAGTATCGTGAAAGAAATTAACATCTCTCCTTTTTTTCTCTCCACACTTTTTTGCCTTTTCTGTCATCCCTTCTTAGTTGAGTTGGCTTCTATGTGTACAATCTTTTAGTTAATAGTACAATCTTTTACCTAAAAGCAAGTTTATCAAAATCGTGTTTGTCTTCCTAGCTATGCCACAAATTGTATGAGGTGATGACCAAGTTGGGAGATCAGCATGCAGACAAGGCCTTCACTATCCAAGGAGCACCCAGGTGAGAAATCATTTATTAAAGTACAGTGAGCTGTCACTTTTCTATCAGTCAGCTACAGCACATGGACTAGTCAGCAGTGTGAAATCAGCTGCAGATATTTAGGGACTCAAAGGGACAAATTATGTGAATAAGGTCTACCTAGTATGAGTAAACAGTGCCAAAAGGTGCTTAGTTTTTTCCTCACTCCCTCTTCCTACTCTTCCACCTCCTCTTCTTCCTCCCCCATCTCCTGCCTTCCCTCAGCATTCAAGCCCAGTCTCAGCTGGTGTTATTGAAAACAACTCCACTAAAAATACATGGTACCAATTTGCATGTGCTAACTATCTGGCCCTTACATTCTTATACACTGAGCTTAATAAAGCATTACCACCTTTCATGATTTTATTATAAGTCTTAAGACTACATATTATGTCCCAACCTTCCAATTGCTTTTGTCAGAAATGAGGGAGAAAAGCATTTCCATACCTGCAAAATAATATCTGTTGGTTAATACAATCTGAGATAATTCTTTGCTATTTTATTTTTTTTAATCTTTTGGTTTTTGAGCTTTCTGGGTATCACAAAAGCTTTTTTCCCCAAAACATTATGTTGCTGTATGATTATTCTTATTACCCAAGTTAGAAAGCTTTTCATGATTACATTAAGATTTAGCATCAGGGTAAACCACTAACATCTTTGAGCCCACCTGTTTTGCCAAAGACCTGTGGAAAGCTAACTGCAGAACACATGCTGAATTATTTTATGTTCCAACATGCATTGAATCTTGTATGAAATTCAGTCTAAAACCTTTGAGGGATCTATTTATTTGTTTTGTTAAAAAATCTTACTCTGGAACTCAGGAAGCAGTCTTTGTAGGATAATACAATGGGATAACAGCTAATGTTATTAATGTTATTACTGCACAAAAGGTAAAGATAGAACCACATTGAAATTTGACCTTTGTCCTTAGGGGGTGAGAGTTAAGGGGAGAAAATAATGAGAAAATAATAATAATAAAAAAGTTTTAAAATTTTGCATGTTAGTGAATACTGAAGGTAACTAAAATAGATGGGAAGGAATGTCTTAATAACTGCTTATTCCTTTTTTTAAATATTTTCACAGAGAGAGGTGGTGAGTGCGAGCTAAAATATGTCCTTGCCAAAGAATAAATTTGCTTTGCTTTAGTATTAAGGCCATGATTGTGAGCTGGTCTCTTCAATCATGTAACGCTTTCGTTCTGTCTAAAGATGTATAGGAATGGTCCTCCTCCTATTAAATGCAGTGCTCATAGACTGGCATAGCTTCCAGGCTCTTTCATTATAGAATTTAAATTCTGTTTTCTTGAATGTAAACTTCAGAAATATTTAGACACCAGAAATATCTCAGACCTTGTGGCAGGTTCTCACATGGTCTAAAATAGCATATCTCTAGGGAAGACAAATGAGTTATGCTAATTTATGCCAGTTGAGGATCTAGCCCTATACTCTCACATAACCTTTGCTTCCTGATTATATTTCTTGTTGCTGCTGTTTTTATTACTTTCATTTTTTATTACTGTGCCTTTTAGGGAACTGAATATCCTAGGAACTTTTTAGATTATAAACTGCACAAAGCAAATTGATTAACAAACACTAATTTGTAGTGACATTTTACTGTCAAATTTGTACACAAGGAATTATTTAAAATACAGAATCTTTCAAAATCAGATATTCTACACTTTTTCAAGATATAACTGAAGGTAAACAGGTACAGTAGAAGTTCTAGAAAGCAGAATGACTAGAAAATTAGACTTTCCTTTGACACTATGTCACTGATAGCTTGAATTAAATCACAATTTGAATTGTGTTTATTACATAAGGGACCAGATTCATCCCCATAATTCCACTGAAGTCAATGGAATTCCATCAAAGATGAACTTTGACTATTGTGTCAAAAAGATTATTGTCGGAGGTGACAAGCAAAACTGTACATTTCTCAGTGGGTTCTGAAATGCATCTCCAGGTGCATAGTCATCAAGCTTCATGATTATATACAATAATATATAGCGTGTGTTACTTCATGCTCTTCTAGTGACTCAGGTCCACTCCGCATTGCAAAAACGCCATCACCACCTGAGGAAGTCTCCCCTGTTCCTAGTCCTACAGCTAGTCCTAATCATATGCTGGCACCTGTTTCATCACCAGCACCTGCCCGACCTAAATCACCTTCACAGGTAGGAATAAAGCTAACTGGGCTTAGATATTAGTTATTTAGATGCTGTTGAAATTTTTTCTATGAGTTCCACAGCAGATACAATTGGGTGGGATTTAACAAGCAGGGGCTGCAAGAGAAAGGAGTTCTAAATTAAGATGATGGCAGTGTGGAAAGCCTGCAAATCCATTACTTTCCCTGACTGTTCATTTCCATGTTGTATGTGGTGATGGAAAGTGACCATAATAGGGCTGGAGGAGTTGGAACATAAATTGGTATTTTGTGAATCATAGACAAAGTGTAGAAACTATCCAGAAGCCCTTTAAACTGTTGTGTATTCAGCTCTATTCAGCACATGAGTTATCATTTGAAAAATTATTTAAAGACATCAGTACAAAATGAATAGTTGATTACATCCCATTTTTTATTTCTTGCACATGTACCATTATGCCATTAAAAAGTTAGTCAAGAATTGCCATTCTGCAGTTATTTCTGAAATACTTATATCTAAAATATTACTGTTTTCCTTTTTGCTTGGAAAAGGAAATAAATATGGAAACTCAAATATATTTGTGGCAATTATTGGTAAAACACATATTAGACCTGTTTTTTTTCTGTTATATCAGTTTTACAACAGAGCAAGAAGTTTGACCTTTAGTGGGGTTACTTGTGTTCTTACCAATGTGAGATACAAATGAGTCTCACTAATGACAACTTCATTAGCACAAGAATTGTGTATACTTTACAGATATATCTAAAATAGAGTTTATGTGTTGAGCAGGAAATTAATTTCAACACATAGGAAATAATGAATACCCTTATGATGTATTTTTAAAATATCATAAAAATACAGTGTTAGTGGTGTGAAATGCTAAAGCAAAAAAAACCCCTGTAATATTAGAGTGCATGGGGCAAAGCATAGAGTAATTTGTACTTTCCATATTGGGAGCAGTTCAAAGTTCATTGCTATTGTGTATTTATATATGTTGTACAGAGGTGCACTGTTTGGCTCTGTTCTCCATGCTATTTCCAACACTTTAGAGCTAAATGGTCAGGTGATGTACCTCAGTGTAGTCCTATTGACATGAATAGAAGTGCATTCATTTATAGCACATAAGGATTTTATGCTTGGTTTTAGTATCTCTTGTAGATAAAAAAATACTGATACGTTAGACATTATTCCAAACTATGGCTTTATTGTGCTAATTTTATCCTCATGAAATCAGTGGGAGTTAAGCATGTAAATAGGAATTTATAGTCAAAATAATTTCGGGAATCTGGGCCATAGTTTTCCTTACTAGTAGCTACTATGCTAATGTTACTATGCTTAAACTACTACTAATTACTACTAATATTATTATGCTTACGTAGTAGATGAGCATAAAACAGGAAAAAAAATGATAACCTGAAACAAGTTTTAAAACCAGTGAATGAGACAGCTTGGTTTCTGTACAGTACTGCAGTACAAATGGTGTTACAGGGTAGAAGAAGGAAGAGTATTCCTAGATCTTACAGTAACAATTATAATCTTTTCCTAAGAATATTTTTTTACAAGTACTGCAAATCTGCGTCTGAATAGACCTGATACATGCATTTTAAAACCATTTTCTTCCTCTGAAACCCATGATGCTGAACAATCTAAAGTTCATGCTCCTGTCATGATTACATTATCAGGGCACTTCTTGAATAATTCAACCATGGTCAGTGGTGTTACTCTAAAATTGCATTGAAGCAGCAGAAACTGGCAACTAAGCCAAAAGACGAGGTATTTACTTTAGTCACACTAGCTTAAAACCTAAAGGCAGGCTCAGCAAAATGAAATTTACTTCTTTATTTACTTTGCTATTTGCTCTTTGCCTAGTTGAGGAAAGGACCTCCTGTCCCACCACTGCCTAAACTCACACCCACAAAGGAGCTGCAGCAAGAGAATATCATCAACTTCTTTGATGACAACTTTGTTCCAGAAATCAATGTGACAACTCCTTCACAGGTCAGCCTCGGAGATTAAGGTTTGCTACAAAATAGGGGTCTGATCTCATCAACCCTCCAGTTCTCCAAATGGGGAAATACTGTTAATTTCAGTTAAGATTCAAAGTGCAAAGGACTTAAAGAATTGATTTTTTATATTACCATTGAATGAGCTGCACATAATATTCATTATCAGAATGATAAGCAATGGCTTACTGAAAACTGATTGGCTGAGCTGACTCCCAGTAGAAGCTTTATGAGATATTTGCAGGAAGGATTGAGACCTGATTTCAGGTTTCAATACAACCTCAAAGTTCATCCCAGATTTTTTCAGATCATTCGAAACATCCTTATGCCCACTTCTGAAGATCTTTTTACTGATTCATGTATTTCATTAAACACATGAAAAAAGTAAGTTTTTCAGATTCTGATGCAAACAAAAACAAAAAAAATAAGGAAAGAAAAGAAATATAGTGGTTTCGACCATTTTATGTGGGTTTTATCAATGAATATGTGGTTTGAAAACAGAGTATTTACTTGAAGGTATCCATGCACAACAAATCCGATTGAAGCAGATCCAAATAGTGAATTAGTGATTGTTAGCCATAGTGTCGATAGTAGTTCTTTCAGTCTGAAATCTAAGACTGTATGCATAGACACACAGCATGTTTATAATAGTGTGATAAAGACAGATCATGCAAACCCATAAATTATGTTAACTTTGTTTGAATATACTATTGAATTACCACTGGAAGAGTCAGAGGTAAGATCCCATCTGTGTTAGGACGTGGTCTCCAACCTTGTTAAGTAGGAGATCACCTTTGGCATTTAAAAGCAACCCAAGATCTACCATGCACCGCCACCACCCACCTGCCCAGCAGGTAAGTGTGGAGTGGGAAGGTAGGGGGACAAATTGAGGCAGAGGGAGAAAAAATCATCTGTGGGCTCATCTCCCCAGCAAGTAAGTCCCACCCAACTAGGTCCCCACTCAATTTACCTCTGCTCCTGCCTCTGCGGCACTGTCCCTCACTGTGGGGCCTCAATCTAGCCCCCGCCCCTTCTCACCCCCACAGACTGACCTGCTGGGCTGGGGTGCGCACATGCATGCACGCAGGCACTCAGCCCCTCACCCCAGGCTCGGATCGACTCCAAGAGGCTCCAAGATCTACCGGTGGATCGAGATCCACTGGTTGGTGGCCACTGGTGTAAGATATACCAGTTTAGGTGTCTTCTGTTCCTCTTCATCCTAGAACATCTGTTTGCTAAAGGCAAGGAGGTGTTTTTGTCCTTCTTACCACCTGGTGGTGAGGCACTGTAGTAGCTTCCTGCTATGTGTACTACAGTAGAACAGCTATTTGCCTGTCTGCTGTAGGTTCTGGGGTAATTCAGGTGGGTACACAAAACTTGTGTAAGTTACACTGGGGTACATGATTGTCTGTCCATGCTCTATGTTTGGTTTGCTATATACAGAGCATGAAATAATGGATGGATTTAATCGAATTTCATATGAGAAGGTAAGAGGTCATAAACGGAATTAAAATGAAGTAACATTCAAATAACATAGTACTGGTTTGGGAGTTTTTTTGTCCGGAGAAGAGAGGATGTTGCTGTACATTGCTGCCTTTTCAAACTGTGCTGGCAGAAGTTGCCAGAGAGATGTACTGAATGGACACATCTCCCATCTGCAAAGCTACACCCGCTTCTCTGGGCCAATATTACTAAGAAGAAAGTTTTTGCTGACTGAGCTGTCAGCTTGCTGCTTCTGGGAACATGATTCCTCAAGTGTGTAGAAGCCAAAGACATTTTATGATCCTTAAATGACATTCCATAAATTGCACTCCCATGATACTTGTGACCCTTTTATTTTGCCAGATTGATATAAAGGATCCTTATTATAACTAAAAATTCAGGCTATATGATATATGAACATAGATATAAATATAGATTTGGTTATACAAATGTATATAACACATGAAGAGAGGGAGAGAGACTACGGTGTGTTTTTATTAATGTGTGTTAATGACTTTTGTACATTTCTACAAGGGAAGTAATTATAGATAATGTTATAAATAAAAGGAATAGAAAATATACACATATGGTTCTTGTACATAATTTTTATTTAACATTATTAATATGGTACTGTATTTTTCCCATTGCTTGTGCGGTACAAGTCTGAGTGGCTCTATCTGACAGTAGAAGACAGAAACTCTTCAAGCCTATAGAGCCCTCTAATGGTGCAGAGCTTTACTGTTTTCCTTGGCACTTTTACTGTTAGCAGAGTCAATGTTGATGAATGGTGACATGCTACTGTATGCACACATTCTTCTAAAAGTTATTCAGGACACACTTAAGTCGATTTATTGGCAAGAATGCACATAGCTCCCATTGGTAAAAGACAGATATAGTGAAGGGAGGACATCTTTGGAGATCCTAGGAAGGTGATAATTTTTGCCAATACATACAGTGTTGCCCTATTTTCAGGTATTGAACTACCAGTTAAAATATATAGAATGACCAATAGCTGTTTGTTGTAGGTCCTTTATAACATGGCTGTGACTGTAGCATCCAGGGCCCAAACAGATTAGGTAGAGATGAGGAACATATGAGGTAAGCAGCCCAACAGCTTCTGTTGCTTTCTGAACATAACACTCCCCTCTGTTTATTTCAGAGTGACATTAGGCCATTTGTTGAACACTTCAGAAAATTCCTGGGAGGATGGAGACTAGGGCATTCAGATCATACTTGAAGAGGATACTGGCCAGTTCCATTGACTTATGAAGGAGCAAAACAAAACCTTATTCCATTCATGCCCTCTTGTTCCTAGTTTGGAGGGACTCGCACTTCTAATGGTCTGACATAATTTTTGCACTCTGGGGTTCACATTTCCAAGCCCTGGAGTGACCATATGTGTATCTCTGGCATACATGTGTTTAGACAGGCATAATCTCACCTTTTCCACAGTCCTAAGCCTTTTTGGAAGAACTCACACCAATTCTTGCCTCAGCTGATTCTAATAGTCTGTGTGTGTGTATTACAGAGAGATAGATACTCATATATGATATACTATATAGAGAGATATCTATGTATCTAACATTATGTATATTATATATCTATTGCAAATTTAGGAAACTTTTTAATAGTAACATGAAACTCATAGAAATGTCTTTTAATTAATTACTTACTCAATAGATATTTCTATGAGTTTCATGTTACTATTAAAAAGTTTCCTAAATTTTCATATAATTAAGTATCTAAATTAAACTATATCTTTTTCTAAGCCATTGTTCTTACAGTTAAAATTAGTATGCTGTTCATTTCAGCCTAAATTTAATTGATGATGCAATAATCACTTTAACAGTCAGTAATCAGTACCCTATCACAATAGATACTTTACTTGTCATTTTGCAGGGGCTAATTGAGACATCTACACATTGGTTTCAGTCCTCATAAATAAGAGCTTCATTCCAGAGCTTCATTAAAAAATAATTAACTTCTCCATTTTCAGTCGCTTTCTCGTTACATACTGGTTAATACTCTGAGTTATTCCATCAAGACATATGACAATATGCACGCTAGAACCTCAAGGGCATAATGTAATAGAATCTTAATATTGCTGACAAATGACATTGGAAAAAATCTTAACAGTAGACAGAATTCTAGTGTGGGTTTTTTTGTTTTTGTTTTGTTTTTTTACTGTAATATTTCTAATTGCTATACAGTCAGTATGTCCACATAGCATAGACTTTTCCTTAAACCAAACTGGATTAACTTCATATAAATTTCCAGGTGAAAATCACCAGCAGAAAGGTAGGGTTTTTCCCAGTATGATTTATTACATTGAACAGAAACTGACAAATTCTACTTATAGATCATTTTCAAATCAAGTATCTGAATTGATGCGGCCACCTTGGGCCCGGTTTTCAGATTTCTGAGGTATCTAATTTGCATACATACCTTCCATGTCTAAATGAGCAGACCAGAAAATTGTTCTTGCAAGAATACTTTGGCATATAACACTTCCCAATAGTACACTTAAACTTTTTTACAACCTGGCCTTATTCTGTTAAGGCATCATCTGATTGGGATATGTGACAGTAATAAACATTTACCCTTGTATATCTAATCTAAATTTCTTTTAAAAATATAGTAATTAATATTAACACTAAAAATTAATACTACAGTAATCTACACATTCCACAGTTCATAGAAGCAGATGTCTTTCTCTCCACTTCTG